ATGCTGCTTTTCACTGGAATTACACTGGAATGAGCTTGGATCACTGCCATGAAGTGTAGGGGTCTCCCTCTCTATTAATACATTTGCAGTGTGTATTATTTCGAGAAGCACCAATCTGTCTTCTGGGAGAACGAAGCAAAGCAGCAGAACTTACATATATCAGTCACTTAAATTTGTAGACCTTCCTATCTCTAAGTTTAGACACATTTTATGGTACAGGGCACAGGTTGTTCTTTGAGAGCCGTGGGAACAGCACCTTTCCCTGCAGATAACAGATCATGTCTGTGCTGTGTGCTCAGGGGGCTCTTTTCCACAGAGATGATCTAACGTTTAAGGACAGGTGGTTCAGAGAAACAAGTAATCTTACGTTCTTTATGGTCTTTATCAAGTAGTCCCACTTGGTCTAAATCAGGCTTTAAGTCTATTGTTTGCTCTAATGCAATTACACACGTTTTTTACTCAGACTCCAGTGAGCCAGACTTTGGCAGCAAGACCATGTAAGCTTTCTATAGGTTTTTAAAAGCAAATTGCATTTTACTGGTCCCTGGGAAAGTGTCTTCCTTGAAAATGTTTAATCCACCCTCCTTTGCTTGTCAGTTGTGAATGAAACTATCCATGGCATACACTGACAGTTAGTTCACGTCTCAGATCAATTCACATCTTACCTAAGAAAGATTTTTTTCTGTTTTCCTGTGCACAGTGTAATGTACTTAGGTATGTCTTTTTCATTTACAGTGTGGGAAATAAACCATAAATCTGTGATATCCCTCCGTCTTTTAGGTATTTCAATACCCTGAGCATAGTCATTTCAGTTAAAGACCTTTCTGGATAGGAAAGACAAGGGGAAGAATTGTGTAAATGTGCAGATCTTTAGAGGAATTATGAACTACTGAAAATACTATAATGCTGCAAAAGTTACACAGCATCTCCAATTATATCACTATTGCTTATTTCCATCCAGGTTGCTGGTTTTGTGTGATAATACTGGTAGGTGTAATACTTGCACTCTGAGACATACTGAAATCCCTCTCAGACTTGCCTTTTTGTGATGCTCATTGCTTCCAGCTCCTTTTGATACCACCTGTCACTGGGGCTGCTCACTCTGTGAAGACAAGTCCCTAAAAAATAAAGGGCACTTGTGATACTGAGGAGCACTCCATGCATCTGTATTTAAGATGCTACCCTGGCCATTCCTGTGGCCTTCCCAGACCAGCTTTCCAAAGTAGCCTGTGCAGTGACAATGAAGTATTTCTGCTCGAAGGGTTAAGGCCTGAGTGTGCTATGATAGTAAGGTGGAGAGAGGAGGAACTGTGCACTTGCTGTTCCAATAAGAATCTTTCAGAGTCTCTTTGGACGTGAAATAGCCCCTAACTATGTTTTGCAGATGCTCTTTTTACACAGCCTCGTGCAGGAAGAGGTCAGACTCCCCAGTTTTGCACAATTGCTGAGCAGTGAAGAGTGTCCCAGCAGCAACATGAATTCAAAATATACCCTACAGAGAGGAATGATAAAACTGAAAGTCCTAGACTTGGGACTCTGAGAATCTGGAACGCAGCTGGATCATATGCAATCCACTGTTTTATTGTGAATCTGCAAGAACGCCAGAGGAAAATCAAACAGTATTTTTCTTTTCCTTTATTTATTTTATAGCTTATACCCAGCCCACAAAATTATGGATTTAAAAACTGGGAATTTGGGTATTCTGAATAAAAATGGAACACGACAGATGAATATTTACATGCAAATACATTGTGCAAAAGTGTATGAGGTGACAGGCTGCAAATTGCATTGGTATTGGAAATAGAAAAAGCTAAAGGTCCCCCACTCCATGTGCAGTGAAGGCAAAAGTGAAGCTCACTTCCCAAAGAACCACAATTTCTCCAAGATGCATTATTGGGAGAGAGATATATACACAGATGAGTATCTGTGTAAATATATGAATGGATATATATATACATATGTATATATACACACATACTCCTCTCTAGCATGTAAAATACATGAGTGATTGTTTCAGAGGGACATATTTTCAGCTGTAGGAGTATCACAGTAATTATGCTTGTGGAGACTTCCATCTCTACAAGGTCTTTATTTAAACAAGCCTTGCATTTTTCAATTCATCTAGAAAAGGGTTTGGAGACCTGGGAAAAGGAAGGAATGAATGAATGATGGTGCCAAGACCTGCACTGTGCCAGATTTTCTTTGCAATTATGTAGCTCTTGGCAAAGGTGAGATTTAAAATCCATGTTGTTGATCAGCATGGGATCATCTCTTGGGAACAGAGATGCTGTGCTCCCATGGAGCAAAATGATGGTGTTTCCCGTGGCTCTCACAGCCAGTTCCTGAGAGCCTTGAATGAAATGCTGTTTCTAAGCTGAGAAAACCATGTGAAGGAAACTTTTTGCCATGAAAACTGATAGCTTAATGCTGTCTAAACAGAAACTCAAAGGTTTTTTTTTCAAGGTTTTCTTCAGTATTTTGGGATTCAATCAGAAGAGATTTAGTGGGAAAAGAATCAGTCTACTAACATGGAGTAAAGATTGGAGTTAGGGGAAAATATTAAGGTAAGCTCAGAGTTATCCCGTAGTGGATTGTAAAGAAGAGCTCAGTCAGTAAAATCTTCATTTTCCCCACTCCTCTTTATGGAAGTAACAGCCACTCAAAAGGCCAGTTTAACTGAAGGTTCAGTAGAAAGCAGATGGGTTTTACTGTTACATTTACTGGCATCATATCATCATCCAAATGGAGAACGGGGTCTATGTACCAGGGCACATAGTGCCCCACTGAACCCTTGAGGGTATTGGTAAGCGTAAACAAGGAATTATCTCCTTCAGCCAGTGGCCACAGGTCTGAAATTCCAGCCAGCTGAACTGTTCTGCTGTGAGGCAGTCTTAGAAATGCCCATGAGATCACAGTGTATGGAACCCTCAGGTCACTTAGGGCAAGGCAATCTGAAGCCCAGCCCAAGAGCTGAGTGTGGCTGGTGTGGCAGGAATTCACCACCAAGGTATTCTTCTTGGCAGAGCAGATGTAGTAACAGACCTAGCACAGCATCCAGGGAGGGTTGTAACAAAGCTTTAAGAGAGGTGCTACTCTTGCTAGAAACGAGCTTTATTATTCTACTTGATCTACATGAAATTTGTCAAATACCTGGTATTTGTAACAGTCTAGCTGATCAGAATCCTCAAAAATTATGCCAAGCAACTTTATTTTAAACTGAACACAACTAAAGAAACTTGGTCATAGTCAAAATGAAAAATAGTGAAGTTTCTACCTTAATGAGAAGAAAGTGGTATAGCACAAACCCACAAAAATAGAAATCCTAGTCATTCAGCACTATAAAACACAACACTAAATAGCCATGGTATGAAAAACTCGTTTGAGTTGGTGACTAGAAGGGTGTCACCTCAGGAAGAAATGAAAAATGGAAGTGAACTCCATCTTGTGTTTGGGGACAGGCTACAGCTTCTTTGCATTTAGACATGAGTTTGCAGTGATATATTTGTTACCTGTTGGGATATGGGAAAAAAGAATTGTCATGGACAGGGCTGTAAAGTTATTCTTAGTGTTTCTTTTTCTCCCATAGCTTCAAAAGGCCAGTAGGGATGTGGACTGAAGCCTCTGGTAGATGTATCATGCTCCTTACCAAAGGAGAAAAGGAGCTCAGAGGTGAATATTATTAAAATAAATTTTAATTTCGAATCCATAGACACTAGTATTACATTGGGCCAAGCCCAAAGTAATACAGATGGCAGCTTTCCCCAAAACTCATTTACATATAATAACTGGGCTTCTACAGAATGGCTCAATGCAATAGTTCTTTTCTGCAATAATAAGTGAAAAATGGTGCAATGACGTGTATGATTGCTCCCATCTCATGTATCTGAAGTTCGTGTTGTCAGAATTCTAGTTCAGACATTTGAACCAGTTAGGAATACCAAACACACAAAAAGTATCATCATCTTTACATAAAATAAGACCAACCACCTTTGGCCACAAAACCCAAAACAAACCTAAACCAAAAAGCCCAGAAACAATGAACACCCCATCATTATTGCATATACATAGAATATGTGACTAGGGTATACTGCAGAAAATTTCATCATTTTTAGGGTAACCCAAAGTAATTCCAATCTCCTGCCAAAAAAAAAAAATCATTCAACTTTTTTGAGAAAAGATCCTGGGTTTACTCAGGATCTTCTGGAGAAGACTGAAGATGCTGTGGTAGTATTAATTGGTAAGAGGAACTATAAATGAACTTTTTGTGATACTGTGGGCTCTTTCAAGACTTCACCTTAGATAAACATTTAGCTCATCATGCTTATGTAAAGCTATATGTTCAAAAATATCCTCCTGGGTACAGCTGCTCCATATTACATATCTCTGATTCGTACTATTGTAGGTTAAGACAAACAATCACTGTGCAACTGCACTGGGAATTAGGTTAATTCAGATTGCTTTGGTATAGATTCTTGACCATTGCAGACTTCTGATTGAGCTCTCAGACAGCTTGCCTTCCAGACAATTGCTTGGATGGGATTTTGGGGGCAGGTGTTAACTGTGGAAACTTACTTAGCAGTAAGCTTCTCTGTTGCTACTGACTTTGATGATACTTTTATATGTTGTTTTTTTTTTTCTTGGTGATTGTCCTTTACAAAAGACCTAATTGAAAATATCTGTCAAATCATGTCTCTGGTTTCCCTCTTCTTCCCCCTCCACCCCCTCAGCCCCCCGTTAATTGGGCGCGTATTGTGTTTGTGTGGGAAGGAAGGAGGCTCTATAGCAGCATGGCAATATTGCTGGGAAAGGAACATTAAAATGGATAAAGGGATTTCCTAGTGGTATAAATACCTGCACACGACCTCCCTGTGCTCTGGAGCCCTCCTGTATATGCATATGCAGGTGAAAACCGGGAGTCGGGTTGGAGCCGCCGTTGATTGCGCAGGATCCGTTCTGACAGAAAACGGGGGACAGGCGGCTCTCTTTGCCTGTTGGAGGGTATGAGTTGCCAAGCATTTACTTCATCTGACACCTTTGTACCCCTGAATTCTGACTCTTCTCCCTCTCTGCCTCTGATAATGCATCACAGCGCCGCAGAGTGCCTGCATGTTTCTAACCATGCCACCAATGTTGTATCTACAGGTACTTTTTAAAAATAATCTTGCTCTCACTAACTCTCGTTTTTTGCGATGCTTTTGGACGATCTGTGTTCATCAAGTTCTGCAGTATTGAAGGTGTTTGGTGTCCATGTTATGTGTGATTGGGATTACGTTAAAGCAGAAGCAATTTCACAAACTCTGCATATGAGTGAATAAGGAAAATCATCAAATGTTTGTGTTTTAGCTAAATCAGCAGCTTTCTCTAAGTTTGTTACGAGATTAGGCTCAAATATGCTGCCAATGCACTAATTTAAAACAGCTTCAAACACTGTCACTGTTGCTATGACTGTATAGTCTTCAATGAGAAGTGTCATGTAAATTAATTGAAAGTTTATTATATAACCACAATTTAAAATAACATAAGTTACTTTAAATAAGAAATACATATAAAGCAGCTCAGGTCTAAATATCACTTGGGGAAGCTTTAAAGAAGGAAAAACATTGCTTTTCAAGGCATGTTGCATACTGAATGAAGACTAAGATTTAAGTGGGGTGTTCAAAATTGGTAGTAGAAGCCTTGACAATATTTTTGAATTTTGTATGTTTGTGTATGTAATCCAATTAGATACACTGAAATACTTGGCCTATGTAATCACTGAACTATCTGAGAGAGAGACAAAGAGAAAGAGAGCTTTGTCTATCTTCCTTAATATTGCAGAAGTGGGATTCTGAAATGCAGGAGTTGTTGATGGAAAGGTTTCAAGAACAGAAGAAGACATAGTTTGATTTATCTGAAATGGTATTGAGGTTAGAATTCTATCTGGAGTCTTAAAAAGAAACTAGCTTTCTCCTGAAATACATTGGTAATAAAACATTTTAATGAAAAGCAAAAGCAGGTAAGTGGTGAAAACTGATCACTGGTAATAGATAACAGGCTCTTACACATTAAGCAGGAGGCTCAAACTATCCTGTTGGTTGGCAGGAGTAGTAGGGAATAGGAGAATTTAAATTTTGTATGAGGTCAGATTTGTGTATCTGTATCACAGTAGTATTTTCTAGATTCATCTGACTTGTAATAAGAGGTACACAATGACAGGCAGTCAAAAGCATTTGCTTGCCTGCTTCATGTTTAGGTTGATATTTTATAGTTGCCTCCCAAGGACAAAATGACCCTGCAGTCCAGGGAAATTTTGATTGCAGGATCTCATCTAGCAGATGACCTTGTAAAAACAGGGTCAAACACTGTGAAAAAATGACCCTGTGAAAGCAGCAATAACTCTAATGGCTAAAGGCGTACAAATTTCATACACAGATTCGGAAATTGTAATAAACAATGCTATTCTTGTGAAAGCATATAAGGAGAATTTGTGCTCAATAAAACAGTGGAAGAATTTTGAATAACAACTTATTTTAAATGTCAATTTTTTAAAAAATTTGTTGTAGCAATTCTGCATCACAAAAAGGTGAATATACTTCTTTTCAAATATTATGCCATGTAATTCAGCTGATGTTCTGCGTTATCCTCAACATTTTAATTGTTATTATTTAATCTGAACGAGATTATCCTCACTATTTAAGTCTTTATTAGCAAGTTGAAAATTGTATTTTCATGCATAAAAATAATAGCCGGTGGATTATGTAATAATAGAAAAAGACAACCAATAAACACTTAGATCTTATCTCAATAGAAAAGTTGCATCATTCTACATGCATTAGAATTATTAACACAGTCTTTATTTTCAGTGCATTTATATCAGTATAAGCATGTTTGTCTTAGTAGATTTAATATCCGTATAAGTGTATCTAAACAGGACATTTTACTGTCATGATTAATGTTGTTAAAAACAGAGATTCTAATCCCTAATTAATTATATGGCTTTGAATGACTGGAATGTGTTCTCTGAAATGTGGTTTTACGTATCTGAATGCTCGTGAACATTAATTTTTAATATTATATTTTATAGCAGTTGTTAGAGGGGACAGTATGTGCATTTTTATTCCTCCTTATACATGAGAAAGAACCATAGCTCTTATTTCACACTCAGCAAAAAAATGGTCTCGTTCTTCAGGCCCTGGCTATTACTGAACAGAGATCTGAAACAGCCCTGTGAAAACATAAGAGATAAATTAATTGTGTGTTTGCTGGAAAATGTTTATTTAAGCCTAACTTTTTAGAGGAGCCCAGAATCTACCGTCCTGTTTCTCTACCTCCTTGCCAAAGCACTCTGAAATGTTTTTTTGTGTCTTGGCACTTAAAAACTTTTGACTTCTGGCTGCCTCAAAGCAGACGTCCCAAACTGCTGCCTTTGGAAACTCATGGTCTTAGGCACACATAAAATATTGCCTTCCTTGCTGCCTTCATTCACAGTTGGGTTTGCATGACAGTGAAGGCAAGCGATTTTCTGAGAACATGGAATTAGTTTTTATGTAAGACTGAACGAAACAGTGTGTGAAAGTTCTGTGAGGAGAGGAACTGGTCTCCTCCAAAGATTTCGATGCTTCCCTTCCTAAGCAGGGTACATAAACTGGGTTATGGTCATGGAATATATTAAAAGCAATGCAACAAGACCCCAGCATGGCAATTTCGGGTCTTGGCTGGGAGGGCGTCTCACTATTTACACAGCAGCAGTTTACCTGCAGTGACCTGGCCAGCTGTCTGGACTTCCAGCAGTGTTACCTGATGGTTATGGCCCAGAGTTAAAGGCTTACTGATTACACACTAAAACTGCATGAGGGCACTGTCTCTCTCTGAACTTAAAGGCTCTGTCTTGAATCCTCACATGTTTTCTTACCAGTCCCATCTGTTTTGTCTTTGGTCCAAACTCATACGTTCCTGTGCATTCACTTTGGCACGACGACGCTGGGACACGCTTTGGCAGGACTTCATTACTCTGTGCCCTCCTGTCATTATGGAAACCAACCATCTACCTATGGGGTGATGGCAGGTAAGAGAGCAAACCTTCAGCTGGGGTGAGCTATCAGCATGTTGATTTTTAGTCAGTTTTCCTTTAGAGGGACCAATCCAAGACAATTGTTTAGAGGAGATGGGATTTGGATTAAGGCACTAGAGAAAGTGTTAGGAGATTAGGGGTCAGTGCCTAGAGTTTCCCGAAAACCTCTGCATCTCTCGTGAAATCACTCTGTATCTTACATCTCTCTACAAGCCTGGGAGAGTGCTGCTCTTTTTGCTAACCTATGTCCACTTTCCCTGGCGATAATCACTTTCTGAGGGACCAGGAGTGACATACCCAATATACCTGTGTATTACCAGTACCTGGGCTGACAAAGCCCTGCCCAAAGATATAAAATAAAATGGGACATAAGGCAAAGATATCTGAATTCTGCAGGCAGATCAGACAGATGGTCATGGATTTTTACAGTCACAAATATATGCTACCATCCTGCTCATTTTTGCATGTGCCAGGCTCAGTAAGAAAGAGGAACTCTTATTCTGTACGAATAACTATTCAAGTAGCAGTCGATGAGATAATGACATGAACCAAATTAACACAACTCCCAGGAGGTAACTGTGGTTTGGAAATAAGCCAAAATCAAACTCAGAATTTTGTTTCACTTAAGAATGAAGGAAATATTCAAATTAGTCATCTTAGATTAATATATCTGCATAGGGACAGAGTGTAGATTTCCTTTATGATGTACAAACGTCCAACTGCTCCTATTACATAGTGCACTTATCTACTTGTTGCAAACATTCCTTGCGTTGTTCAGATCTCTGGGAAAAGTTAATGGATATTAGACAAAATATATTGCTCACAAGTTCATTTTCTTTCATTCCAGAATAAACACATCTTTATTCTTCTCCTTTCTTCTTTTCACCTTTACTTTGTTCCCTTTTTAGGCATCAAGCCTTCAACTCCAGAGATGCTGTCGGCAAGTCTCTCCCAGACTCGCATCTTGCAGACATGCAGCGTGCCCCATCCCAATGTGGTAAACAGTGTCAGCACCTTGCAAAGCAAGTCCTTCTCTTTTTAAGTATTTTTTTTTTTTGAGAAAAAAAAGTCCTTTTTTTTTTTTTTTTTTTGTGGTTAGCCTGTCTGAAGTGTATGAAGTAGCTCCTATGGGGTTAGAACCTCCAGCACTGATGAGAGCATTCAGGATGGTGAAGACAACCCTAACCCTAATAAATGGAGGAAGCAGTGGAGGTTAATGCAGTTCTGAGTTCTTCTACAAACTTTTGTATAATTTAGACAATTGGAAAGGATGTCCGGAAAACCTGGAATTTACTGGCTGCTCCAGATATACTGAAGAATGTTAATGATTCCCTCCACCCTTCCTTTAGGTCATAGACTCTTTAGCTCTATGTACAATACCAAGTGAAAAAAACCACCTTCATTCTTAACTGAATCTCCTTGTTACTTCTGATATTTGTGAACAGAAGGTAATGCAAGGCAGTTCTTTGCCCTTGAGTAATTTCTTTTTAAACCAGAAGGGTCATTTTGAATGTGTTCTGGGTTTTTGGTTGTTAGGGTTTTTTTGCCTTTAGGTCTTACCTTTGCTCTTTCCCCAAAGAAATTTTATGCTGAAGCTAAGCCAAGGTAGTATCCCATCCGAGCATCACACGGCATTGACACGGAAATATTTTGTGTACCAGAAAGTAGAGACTGGCAAATTTTAGGTGACTCAAAATGATGTAGATCTGTCAGTCTGGATGTGCCCCTTAATTCCAGTTTAGACCTTGGATTTTATTTGTTTAGGTTTAGACCATTTGCCATCTTATTTAAGTGCTTCTGTTTACTCAGTAAGAGCATGGTTGTGGCTGCTGGTTGGTTTTCATGAGTTTGGACAAAAAAGAGACGGTACCTCCTAGGAGATCCTCACTCTTGGGTACTTTCATATTTTATGTAATGAATATTACAGGATTATGAGATGGTGAAGGGAAGTTTTCACTGTGTAGTGGTAGAGAATAACTGTACTGAGTTTTCTCTTTGGTGCTGCTCAGGTAGTCTGACCCCTTGCCTTTATAAATTCCCGGAGCACGCCCTGAGTGCCAGCTCCTGTGCCCTGGGCCACGGCTTCACTCCCATGCACCAGCCCCTCCTCACAGATGATCCCACTGCCACGGACTTCAAGCAGGAGTTCCGCAGGAAAAAGCAAGTCCGTTGAAGACCCCGTCGACATGGACTCCCCTGAGATCAGGGAACTGGAGAAATTTGCTAACGAATTTAAGCTGCGGAGAATTAAGCTGGGTATGTGCTTTTTTTGCCCACAAACAAAAGGCTGAAAAATTCCAGTGAAAGCCCAATTATTCCTGAGTGTTTTATAGTCTGGCCTCTTCAGTTGCCTGATCATAACTCTAATCTTGCCTTGTACTGCCCAACTTTCTCCATTCCTAGCACACTTGATTGGAATTAATGAACTTCAGCTTTTTGCAGCTTAGCATGCAGAAGGGGACTTAAACTTTCCTGCCATTAAATTATTTGTCTTAGGTGCAGAGGAAATTATTACTGTTCTGTAAATTACATTCAGTAGCAGATGAAACATTCTGCACAGCTCCAAATTATCTGCAACTTAGGGCTCTAACCTCTCATGCCCATCCTCTTCCCCGTGAAGAGTTTCATCTGAGGTTGTGGTGTCATTTCTGTGACAACCATGGGAAGTCTTTCACACAAGTAGGAAGCTTCCCTTCCTGATTTATTTTCTTGTGCCAAGACACAGGTACAGCAGCAACTGATATATTTGTTGCTGTCTGATTCATGCAAGATGGATCACCTTTGAGAGTCTCCAGTGAGCTGCTCGTCTTTCACCGGCCAATCTTAGCTGAGGGCAAAGGTGGACTGAGCCCAGTCTTTCTCACCTGTAGGAAATAGGGGTTCATTGCAATGTAAAAGCCTCACCCTTTCTTGAACTGTACTGAAAGAAAAAAATAACATCCAGCAGTGCAGATGGAGCCTGCAGCCCATTTATGAATACTGAGTACTCTGAAGAGTTGCGATTTTGTCATTATCACTTATTACATTTGAATCAGAGGAAATCCTTCTAGTTTCATAAATCTATAAAATAGAAGGTGTTTAAAGGTATCTATGTGCTATCTTAACAGTGGGAAAGCTAGTGTGTTTCCTTTTCAGTCTAAACGGAAATAAAAGAAATCAGGGTTTAAAAATATCTGGAACCTGGTTTATTTTCCCATGTATCATGTTTTTGTTGTCAGGCACAGCAATGGAAAGTGTTTGCTAGGCCCCACGTTGTTAATCACTGCATCTTCATCCTGAATTTTTGAGGGAACAAAACTTCCTTTATTGCAAGCAAATGACATGGAGCCTGGGCTTAAGTGGTCTGATGGGAGAAATGCAATGTGCTCAGGGAAACTAATCTGAGGTTGAGCTTTACACAGGAAGACAGACTTAATATGGGTTGTGCATCTGAGACTGAGAGAATTGGAGTAAGTGCAACCAAAATAGAGGTAAAAAGTTGCCTCATGAGACATTCAGTGTCCAATTAGATCCTTCCTGTTCTGGTGCAGAGGCAGAGAAGAAGGATAATGATCCAGCCTCCTGAACAAGGCAGATACATGCTCAGAGCACCAAACAGGTTGCTGCTGAGACAAAGTCAATGTCTGCATGGAAACTGCAGCAATTCTCTGACCATTTCACTGTAGTTGTTGCAACAGATAACTGGATAGCAACCAGGGATTAGTTTATTGCCCCTGCATCATCTACATAAAGAAAGATTCTGGGTGTTGGGATCCTTTTCAAATCCCTAATCTTGGAGTGTAAAACTCCACCGAAACCTACAGGAAACTGAACACGTTTCTGAGGACAGCTCAGTCAGCCCCAGAGACCTCTGCAGAGAGCCCATCCTGAAGGCACTGCAGGCACACACTGTCCACAGGAGTCAGAAATGAAGGTCTAAACATTCAGGAAAGCTTCAAAGTTACTTTTTTTCCTCTTTGTTTTTGACAGGTTACACACAAACCAACGTTGGAGAAGCACTGGCCGCTGTGCACGGCTCTGAGTTCAGCCAAACAACCATCTGCCGGTTTGAAAACTTACAGCTGAGTTTCAAGAACGCCTGCAAACTGAAATCCATACTGTCCAAGTGGCTGGAGGAAGCAGAACAAGTAGGAGGTAGAGAATTGAAATCCTCTAAATTTTGATTTGCATTTGAATCGGAATGCCATATATATGCCCAAGGACTAGTAAGTGTAGTCCATAGCCTAAAGGGTTTTTTTTACCAGATTTAGATGCTAAGGTGTGCTTGTATTAAATTTTAGTTGTTTTTTTTTTTTTGGGTGAGCAGGGAGGGGCAAACTGAAATGTATGGAGGGTACAGAATAGCAGAAACATCACTTGGTGATGGGAGAAACTTGGTGCTGGGAGAAACTTCTTTCAGTCCCATCTCAGCAAGCTAGCCCCAGTCCTGTAGCATATTATTAGGATCTGCAGGACTGCCCCTTTAGCAGCAGGGATTTTTCATTAGTAAAGGAGTCTTCCTTCTGACCTTAGGCATATGAGATATGGCCATGGGGAAAAGGATTTGAGTTCAGCTGGAGCAGTGGTCTTTAAACCCTGAAGAAGAATAGCATGCCATAGAGTTTTTTGTTGTAACCTAAAATGCTCCTTCTTTTGCCCAGTTAATTTCCAGTCTCAGGAAGAGCCATAGGGCTCGTTGGGCAAAGAGTACTTTAGGACAGGCTGGCTGACTTAAAGAAAGTAGTTGCCTTTGAGAACAGCCCTTTCAGCTGGATGAATGGCAGAGCTGAGAAGCAGCAAGCCTGGAGGTGGCAGCGAAAGCACGACCACCGGGCAGCACTTGCTGAGCATGGGAACAAAGGGAAGGTGATCTTCATGCTACTTTTTGGGTTTGGCATTGTATTCAACTGCAGGAAACGTTATTTTGCCACACACTTCAGTTTCCTTTGAACCAAAGGCTTCCTTCCCCTGTAACTGTGCTGGAAAGCAGAGGCTCTGCTATTGCGGCTGCCACATCACAAGAATCGCTGGTGGCGGGCTGTGGTGGCAGCTGCTGAGTGCCTGAGGCAGGATCATGTTTGCAGACCACTGTCTGACTCTGAGAAGAGAACAGAGACTTGTCCATCAGAAGGTGGAGTGGACAAGGCAGATGAATAAATGAGGTAGGGGGTCAAAGCTGGAGGGTGAGATAGTAAGGAAACAGACTCCGTCTCCCTAGACCGTGCCCCGAAGGGCAGGAGGAGCAAGGTATGTCCAAGGAAGGGATATGAGTACTGCTCCTCAGGTATATAGGCACAGAGCCAGTGCTGTTTGCATCTTTACTGGTGCCACACCATTTTTGCTTTTAACTATTTACATCTGGAGGTAAAACAGTGACCAACCATCCTACACAACAAAAAGATCCTGCGTGTGGTGCTCCTCTCATTCAGCAGCACTGTCTGTTATGCTTTCTTCTCTCGTCAAAGACTCTTCTTTGGTTTTTTTTCTGGAGATGATTCTGCTTGTTTTCCATTCCCTGTAGAATGTAACTGCCAGGTTTTGTTTTCTTTTTTAAAAATATTTATTTATTTTAATACAGCTTTATACAATGAAAAAGTTGGAGTGAATGAGCGGAAGAGGAAGCGCAGAACCACCATAAGGTAATAAATATTTAGGGCTTTACAGGTTAGAAAACCACTTTGGCTAAGATGCTTTTTCTTCTGTTCAAAATTGAAGTGTTATTTTCTATTAATGAATATCTGCATCTAGTGCTTCTAAAAGTTTTAGTATTTGGAAACATGCCAGTGGAAAATAACAGCATAACCCTCCAGACCCCAAATTATTCCAAAGATATTATTTTTCCCAATCAAAGACTTCTTTTTCAACAACACACTAAAGTATGAAAAGACATTTTATTCTAGATCTGTCCAAATTTCGTTATAGCTATATATCAAGGTATCAGAGCACTCTTGTTTTCATTTTGGGAGATTCTATACTATACCAAAATAAATTGCATTATTTTGGTATCATAAATAATTATATAAATTGTGAAACAATAAAAAACCCCCAGATATAAATTTGCCAGAAACTTGAGGTCTGGTCTTAAAAGCTATTGATAAAAATCAGTCCTCGTATTAAGCATTTTTAAAATTATTCCTGCTTTTAAATGTAACCCTGCTGCAGTGGGAACATCAAATACAGCAGGTTGTCAAGGACACAGATAATTGAGAAGTTCAGGACCAAATCCCATATAGTAAGAAAATATTAATTACTCCTTTGAAGGCATAGAGGACCCCAGTTTAAAGACATGAAACTAATCAGGGAGATGGGCTTTCCATGAATTCTGGAGCCTTACTCTCAGCCATTCTTAGTGCATGTTTGAAGGCTAACTAATGCTAAAACAAAAACCCTAGTAACTAAATTAGATTAGTCATACCCAGAGCAAAAACTACTTAATTTGAATGTGTGGAAATTATTTTATTATATACTTTGCTCAAAGCCTTAGAAGCTGTTGGTCCAAAATAATGATGCTTCTGTGAGTGCAGAAGACCATGCTATTAATTAGGTAGCTTTTGTAACCCTAGTAAGTATTGCAAAGTTGACGTGTAAATGTGAGACCAACAGCATAACACACATGAAGTAATGAAATAAGTAGAACTCCAGCAGACACCGTGTGCATTTTTATAGCAGAAATAGCATCACCTCACTTTCAGAATAATGCATGAAGTGCCCTCTTGTGCCCAAAGAAATTACAGCTACTGCTGAAGCTGTTCTGGACGCGTCCCAGTGGCACAAAAGCATGTCACAGATGTTCCATGTTTTCTGAGAATATGTAACAAAAATTGGAAGGAAATTCTATCTGGAAATAAGAAAAATGAATAGTATTAAATTATTTTGTTTAGTGAACCACTCAACTTTTGTCGCTGCTGACTTTGAGGAATAGGTTAAGGCAGACTTTTGGAAAGTGTGGTGATTGCTGAAACACCTTGCCATAATCTCTGTGATTTCTAGAAACACTCTAGTGCTCTCTCTGTATACACAGTGAGATGCAGAATTTGATACAGCACACAACTTTTCCCAAATCTTCCCATTTGTAAACCCAAATGATTTGACACAACCAGGTAACGCATTTGCTGACCCCTGAGGCTCTGCTGTGATTGGAGCAGACTGTTCTAATTCCTCTGCCCTCGTTTATGACTAATTAATAGTTGTATCTCCTAAAGAGCATCAAGAAGCACAGATATTTCATAATTAACACTGAAACTGCACTGAACTTCATGCTAGTTTTGCCTTTTAATTCCTCTCTGCTGAAATCCTGCATGTCACGCTGCTCATGTCAGCGTGAATATAGCTGTCAGAACTACAGTGTACTTTCAGTGCTCTGGGGCTCCTTTATGTGTAAAAAGAGGAAGCAAACCAAGTCACTGCCTTCAGTGCTGTTCCTTGACCCTTCTCCTGAACTAACAGTGAAAGCTTGACTGCACAGAAAAGTTTCTAAAGGTGAAATTTTATCCATTTATCCAGTATTGCTGCCAAAGAAGCCCTAGAGAGGCACTTTGGAGAACAAAGCAAACCTTCTTCTCAAGAAATTATGAGGATGGCTGAGGGGCTCAACCTTGAGAAAGAAGTTGTAAGAGTTTGGTTTTGCAACAGAAGACAACGGGAAAAAAGAGTTAAGACGAGTTTACATCAGAACACCTTCAGTTCTATTATCAAGGAGCACCATGAATGCCGGTAAAGCTTTTCCATGTATAGATGTGGATTTCTGTTTTGGTTTTTGTAAATATTGTAAATATTATGTTGTTTAAAAAAGAAAAAAAAAAAAAAAAAAGAAGAGAAGAATCAGTAAACTAGTTGTTTCTCTAGGCAGCTTCAGATGCAGTGTGTTGTGGAGGACCTAATTTTAAATCCTACAATGTATATTTGAAGCCATAATTGCTGTCATTACTTATGGTAGGGTAAGTTTACTAGTACAGAGGTGTCAACACTGTTCCTACTGTGTGCTCTGTCTCAGCATAACATTTGACTGCCTTAAAAGGGTAGCAAGTAGAAGTGACTTTTTTAATATTTGTTATCAAAGATAATTCTTGCTAATTCATTATGTGCCTTGAAGTTTGGTTTGGATAGGTTTAGCTATAAAAATGGGAATACAATTTACCTTACCTTAAGACTTTGTGACCTAAAAGGAAGAAAATAATTATCAAGGGGTTTATTATGTTGGGCTTTCTCTGCATTGAACTTTTTTCTGATTAAAACCATGTGTAGACATACTTACACCAGAGACAGCGTTTTAAGCTAAAAAACCCACCCAAGTATCCAAACAAAGCATTTATTGCACTACACATTCCCACTCTCTTAAAGCCCACTAATTGAAAATAATCCCATATTTGTCATCCTCCAGCCTAGAGAGATAACCTGGGGAAAAAAATACCAGTGTCAGAGCTCCACCTATCAGACAGGCACTGAGAAAACTGAATTAATGGCTCTAGTACTCACCAGGGATAGATTATCCAGCCCTCTCATCAGCCCTGCTTATTGCTATTGGAATTAGCCCATTATCACTTATGTACTTTTGACTGTTTTCCCAGGACTGAAATTAAGTGAGTACATGCGAGTAGTACTGGCCACATACATTTTATTTTTCCATAAACCAGACCTGATGATTTAGAAAACATCTAGATAATAGGCCTCCAGAAAGCAAAAGGGGTTTAATGTTCAAGACCTCTTAGAAGCAGCGTGTACAAGTTAAGTGCTCGCTCTCTCTCTAGTGCACGTTAAATTACCTCTGATACTTATTACAGTGACCATGGGCACACTCAGCTATGGAAATCAGGCTCCTGGATTTTTAAAAAAGTATCTTTTTATGGATGAATGCACCACTTAATTTAGAAGAGGATTTCAATTTAATAACTCAGAGGGGAGGAATTGCGCTATGTCCTGTCTTCAGGCTGTTCTCATCACCAGCATAGCTCACCCACTACAGCAGAGAAAGGCCAAGCTGGAGACTTTATCCACCACATGTATCAACAGAATGTGGACTTCCCAAGAGCCTGAAAGATAAATACAGTTGAGAAGATTAGCCCTCAGCAAAAGTGGTAGTATGTATCTGGCACCTTTTGTGTTATGTGGTCTAAATGCTATGTATGTATGTTGAAAATCCTACCTGATATAGCTACATTTTATTTATGTTCTAAATTATTTTCTTAATTATGAAAAGGGTTCTTAGAAATGCTATATAAGCCTGTATTTCCCAAGCTCCCAGCCCAATAAAGTATTCTTATACAGCTGGCACTCTAGGTAATGGTTTGTAGTTCTGTTTTGGTGACACCTTACCCTTTTTAGCTGTGTATCATGCTGAGGTGCTGATGCATTTTAGCCTGCTGTAACAGTTAATTCAAAAGCAGCCTTACCACAACACAGTGGTTTCTTGTCCTACAAAAAGTCTCACAAGTGAAGGCTAACTGCAGAAACAGAGAAAAAGAAAATGAAAGGTGACATCTAAGGCCATTTTCTTGAAAAAGGAATTACAAAAGGCCAAGTGGGGGAAGCAGCCACCATTTAAACACATCTAGCTGTTGCCACGGAAATATAAAGAAATTAGAGCAGAATTGTTTAAAGAAGAAAGGTTGGATTAAATAAATTTCAACTGCTGCAACCATTACTTACAGAAAGTGGCACTGCATTTTTTTTTTCTGTAGGAATACCTTAATTGCCATCAATCACTCTTGACTGGGGGGAAAAAGCCCACCCTAGATGAGATTTCTGAGGGGTAACTTTATAAACCTGCAAGAGTTTAGTTGGCCATTCAGCTAAGATGGGCTGTACTATTTTTCTTTGAGATATTTCTGTGTGGGTTTTTTTTTTTAATTCCTCTTCCCATGGCGACTTCAGGCAGGGTGTGAAAACCACAACAGAGGGCAGGAAGAGGTGTTATCACAACTTGTAAATATGTGTTCACTTCTCTCCATGTCCCCTCTTTGGAAGGACACAACAGACACAGTGAAGGCCAAGATGCTGATCAAAGGTAAAGTGAGTAACTGTTGAAGCTACTGACTCTCTGCTGGATTTAATGTGTGCACTGGATGTTACAGATGTCTCCTGAACTACGAGCAGTGCTGAAAGGCTGGATGGAGGCAGGCTCTTCACCATCTTGCCTAACGTAGGGACCAGGAGTAAATATGTGAAGCTGGGAAGAAGCTTAAGAAAAAAAAAAAAAAATAGGTGGTTCTTAACATGGTTGGGGAAAAAAAAAGATCTGGGGAACTTCTCTACTAAAACATGTGGGTGCCAGAAGTTTACTGACATGGACAAGTCCTCAGGTGGAGAGACACTTGAAGTTGTTGTGTGTAGAAATTCTATACGGCTCTGGAAGTGCTCTATATTGAATAGATTGGAAGAGTATTTGGGGAGAAAGTGCCATTTATGCTCATCATGTTCTTGTTTTCCGGGACATCTCTCCTGGGCACTGGTGGAGTGGGATTCTGGGTGAGATGGACCTTGGTCTGCCCCAGTGGAGCCCCTCTTAGGTGTGTGCACAACTGTGTCGCTGTTCTTGGATGGAGGACTTTCAATTCCTATTAAGGAGTTAGCAAGGATAAAGGAGTTTAAGGATTGAGTGGTTGTTGGTCGGCTTTTTTGTCTGCTAAGAGTGATTCGAACAGAATTTGTTTCGAAGCAGGGGATGCAGTTTTGTTATAGCAGATACAACATACTAATTACAACCAAATAAAAAACAAGCAAGCCTGCAAACTTACAACACTCAGTCTGGTACTGAAAGATTTTCATAGAGATTAAAGCTGCAGGATCTCAAACGTAACTTTTAACAAAACACCAGAGTGATATTGATAGTAGCAGCCCTAATGACTCTAAAAAGCAATGCCTTTATTCCTGTTCATCAAAGACCTGTAGAGAAAAAACTCATAATAGAATTATGCCCAATTTTGACAGTTATTAAAAGGATAAAGTGCACACCTCACTCAGAAAGGACATAAACCTTGGTGTTCAACTGAACTACAATCAATCAGTAACATTCACATTATCATTTCTCCTTCTCTGCTTAAGAGCAGCACATGGGCACCCAGCTACAGACCAGGGAATGCAAACTTGGAAAAGTCTTTACTGAATGCTCAGTTTACGACAAAGGTCCAAAAGCAACTATTATAAATTTTATGGTGCTTTATGGCTCAAGTCAAAGACGTATTTATCAGAGCTCATAGGAGTACACAGAAAGCCTGCTAAGGGACAGTTGTGCAAGACTAACCCTACAGAGGACAAAGTCATTGTGGAATAAAAAGCATTTTATTAGATTTTTACAAAATAACTTGTAAAAAAATTCACCTTGTATTGGATATATGAAATATATTAACTTACACATTCCTACCCACATTCCTACCCACTACCTGACAAATTCAGAGTTTGTCCATCATTTCCTTGAAAGAGCAAGAACACCTGCATTTCCATGCCCAAAACCCAAAGAAGGCTCTCCCATGAATTTACTTTCTCTGCTGACGTCAATCCTAAACAGCAGATGGTGTGACAACAGTCGATTCACTGAGGTTTCCTGCTACAGTTTCTCTAGCAGCAAAGTCTCTATCTGAAGTTTGTCCCCCCACAATTATCCTGGTTTTGCTACTAGGAGGTATTTTGCTTTTCTCTTTTTAAAGCCAAACCCTTTAAATCAGCACAACTGAGGGGCAAATAATCTCCAGCAGAGTCAGGGCTCAGGAATATCTGGGAAGTCAAAACTGGGAACTGCATACTCAGGCTTTGTCATCTATTTCAAGTATCAACAGTTCTTATTTCATTAGCCCAGTGCATATTCCACTTAAAGCTAGAATCATGCTGATGCAGTTCAGAGACCATAGAAAAACCTTCACGGAACCAGAACACTTTTATTATAGTGTTTAGACAAGGAATTATCATTTATGATCCAAAAGTGTTCTCAAAACTAAAACTTAATTTAGCTTATCAATGTGATCAATTGCTTCTTAGCAAACAATACAGTTATGCACAGTTATCTTCCATTAAGAAATACTGTAAAATATATACAAATGTTGCTTCAAGTGCACAAGTTGCATTTTTGAACAAGTGCATTTCTCAGCTTCAGCACTGAGTCCCATCAGGTGCACAGAGAGGTCTCACCATAGTATTTTGTGAAACCATCTTAATTACAAGTTTACTCACCTCTCAAAAACTCATTCTGAAAGAAAATCACCAAGGTACAAGATTTATATACATAAAGGCACAGCAATTCTGTTGAAACCAGCTATGTTACAGTACAATGGAGTTCAATCAGTGCCTTTCATGCAACAAAGTTCACTAACAAACTTAAATCCTCTTCCAGAAAAATTAACTGCACAAGGAGCATATCCTTGCCTTCCAGTAAGAAGAATAACCAGTTATTATTTAATCAACTCAAAAGTTGCTACAGGAATTTGAAAGAATTATATAAAATGCTTTTTCCTTCTGCTTAAATTTGCTAGACTTTCAAGGTTACTTCTCATGGAAAAAATAGTTTCTAACAAAGAGCAAAGGTGAACTTTCATTTGTGCTAAAATGACAAAGAATGTTTCTATAGGCATAGTTTTGTAAAAATGATAAATCTAACATAGGTGCTGTCCTAGGAGGTGGCATCACCAGCCACAGAACAGCCAGTTCTAGAGAGATATCAGGAACTGAGATAGAAGAAAACTTTGAATTCGGAGAATAGATATGGATGGGGTATAAATGAATTTATCATTAGAACTACACCCCTGGTTGATCCAGAGTCAGAGTCCATGC